CCCCGTGGGTGCAGAACTCCTGCCCTCTGCCTTCCCAGTGCTGTTCCCTGCCTGTGGGGCTGAGGGTCCTCGCGTGCGCCGTGTGGCCGCCGGCCCCGTGCCAAGGAGGTGACGCAGCCCTCCTGCTCACGGAGATATGAAGTCATCCCGGATGGGTCCGCGCAGGGGATGAGTTCCCATGGTGACAGACAGCGATGCACCCTGGCGGGGCAGGGCGGATGTTTGGTCCTTTTTATTCTTTTCTTCTGGAGATGGGCGCCCAGCCAAAGAGCTGAAGGAGCAATGGCACAGCCTCTCAGGGGAGAGCGCCGAGGACAAGTCTGGTCTCGTGTGCTGCGCAAATCCTTCTGCAACACAGATCCCTGTGTCCACAACAGGGCTGCTCCCACCCCTCTGCAGCCTCTATTCCTCAGCCATGGGATGTCCCAGCAGAGCGCTGCCCGGAGTTTTATCCTTCCCATACACCATGCATGCTGCAGGCAGCTTTAAACAGAGGTGCTGCTGGGAACCCGGTGTTGCTAACTGGTGTAAGAAGTATGGATGCACAGTGTCATCCTGCAGGTAAAGCAGCGTGTGCCATTATTCATGTGCCTTGACCCGAGGTGTGCACAGGGTCGTCTTCTCACACACCCCTGTGCAGCACTGTGTGATGGGGACTCTGTGAGCACTGCTGGAACTCCCCTGGAGCCACAGGCCCCTTCTAGAGGGGTGTGGGTGTGGGTTGTGAAACACTCTAATAGAGGCAGGGAGGAAGCATTGAGCAATCACCCCAACCTCCTGCCACTGAGATTTGCAGCCCAGGCTGGAAATAAGGGAGATTGGTACAGGGCTATACAAAGGAGGGGGGGGAGGAGGATGTGCAGGGGTATAGGGCTGTGACAGCTGAGCTGAGCAACCTCTCTTACATACCTGCAGAGCTGGGCCCAAGCAGTGGTCACCTCTGCTGTTGTCTGAAGGAAGAACAAACCCTCGGAGCCCTATAAAGCTGTGCACCAGATCACCCCGGTGTGTGCCTGCGGAGCCCACGGGCAGGGCAGGGCAGGGAGCTCAGTGATCGCAGCTGTACCGACGTGCCCCCAGGGCGGGTGCTTTGCTGCTGCAAAGCAGCAGCAGATAGAGACTTGTGCCACGATCCATGGGGTGAGCACAGGGAGAGGCAGCACCAACCCCATGTAGAATGCAGGGGTAGCTTTGCTGCTCCCCATCCCTTGTGCTTCCGTCCATCCCCATGAGCAAGCTGGGTTCCCTCTGCACAGCCATATCCTGCTGTGGGTGGGGGCAGCGGGGCTGGGAGCAGAGGGACACAGCCCGTGCTCAGGACCGTGGAGCTGAATTTCTGCAGGATGAACCGGGCTGTGTGGGCAGTCCCCTGCAGCTGGGGCACTACAGCCCCTCCCTACTGTCCCCCTCTGCTGTCCCAGAGCCTGACTGAGGCTTCTCGATTCTATCATGCTGGGATGGCCATGAACCAGCAGCGAGAGCATCCCTCTGGGCAGAGAAGGGCTTTCATCTTGAGGTTTTGCCCTGCTGCGCCGTGGCTTCGTGACATGGGGTGCCACGAGGTGCCTCCCCCAGCACACAGAAGCCATGCCAAGCTTTGCCGGGACAGCCGGCGGCGGCTGCTGATGGGAGACATTCCTGGAGCTTGTCCCAACCGGCCCCGCTGCGGGCGGCCCCCCCAGTCCCTCCTCCCCGCGTAGCACCAGCCCCCAGCTGTCCCAGCCCCATGGGCTCAGCGCAGTGGCAGAGCTGAACCCCCACCAGCTCACGATGGAGTGGAAGCCGCCCCCTCCCTCTCTGCCTGTCCTTGCTGGAGATGCCAGGCAGGGATCTCTGCAGCCTGCGCATCCCTACAGCCTTGCTGTGGGGAAGGAGCGAGAGCCGCCACACCGCATGCATGCGCACATACACAGGCTTTGCTGCCAGACTGCAAAGGAATCCCATCCGGAATCCCACCCAGGCTTCGCTGCTCCCCGCTCATAGCACAGCGGAGCTGATGGCAGCGCTCTGGAGCAAAGCAGTGCAGATCTGCAGCCCAAAGCCCCGCTCCAGCTGTGCCGCGTGACTCACTGCTCGGCATGAAGCGGGGTTGGAAATGCACCCCAGGCTGCAGAAAGCAGCTTTTCCCTCCCTTCCCATTAAGCCGGCGGTGAGGGCGTCTGCCAGGCACGCGCAAGGCAGGGAGAGGCTCAGCCCTGGTGCTTTGCGTGTGCCTGTGCTCAGCAGAGCGAGGGGCTGCAGGGCGAGGGGCTGGGGCTAAGAGAAGGGTTAGAGTTAGGGTTAGGATCAGGTTTGCACGCTTTGATCAATGCCATCAGGAGGACCACATGCTCCCTTGGGGCCAGTCCAGCCAGGAGATGGGGAACCCCAGCCTTAGACTGCAGGAACCAGCACTGGCTGCCGGCCCTGGAGGGTTGGGAAAGGACAGACAGCAGCTTTGAGGATGTTCCAGTGGGATTGGGGACACTGTCGTTGCAGGGCACGGGCCTGGGGCTGCAGGGACAAAGGGTGGATGGAAGAGTAGAAGGAGTGTTTAGGAATTAAAGCTGGGGGTTGAGGGAATGCCTGCAGTGGGTTCTCTGGTGGGAATAGGGCTGCTGCTCCCCCCACAGTGTGACTCACACACACCTGGTGCTTCCCCTCCGCAGGCGCAGATTCCTTCCCCAGTCGAGGTATGCGGGGGAGCCTGGAAGCACCAGCAGTCCCTCGTGCTGCAGAGGAGGGCTTGCAGCTTTTAGGGTTCCCTGCGTACCCTGCATAGGGATGCTACTGCAGGGCTCTCCCCATGGCCACTGCCCCTTGCCAGGTTTGGCTATGCTGCCGGGCCCAGGGCGGTTGCAGAGCATCACTGTGTGCCCAGTTCTGCCCGTGCACCGGTGACCCTGAGCTGCTCCGCCAGCGCCAGGCCCGGGGCCAGCGGCAGAACCCTTGGCAGACCCCTCCACTCTCTGATTAATGAAGCCCCTGTCTAATTGGGACAGGCCATCTTGTCTTCATTAAGCAAACTGTGGTAGGAGGAGGGCTTATGGATGGCCCTGACCTGGGGTCAGGCCCACGGTTGTGGGGCAGTTGGAAGACACCTGTGGCCATGGTGACCTCTGAAGCAGATTTAGGGGCCTCACTAGGGTTGGCTGCAGAGAGGATGGGGATGATCTGCTCATGTTGCCTGTAAGAGAAGAGGGGCACCTCCATTCCTTCCCTGCTCAGAACAGTTTGCTCCTGGGAAAGCTGCCTGCAGCTGCCCCGAGCATCCCTGCTTGGTGGCAGGTAGCCCTGCCGGGACCCCTAGATGTGAGGCGACCCCTCACCGTCTCCCTGGTGCCCACAGAAAGATGCCCCTGGAACCATGCTGGCACTCAGAGGGGAGACTCCAGGCTGTTGTCCTCACATGAGGCCACAAGGGTACAGCTACACAGGGTGCTGGGAAACAGGGAGGTGGCATGGGACATAATGGTGCCCATCAGCATGGGTCAACCCAATGGGAACAAGCAGGCTGGAGGATGGAGCACCCTGATGACCACACACAGCCCTGCCATAGATGGGAGGCACCCGGGTGTCCCCCAGCTCACCACCTTACTGAGCATCCTCTCCTGCAGTCACCCCAGCTGCAGTTCTCTGTCTTTGGGACAGTTCTCAGTCACTGCTTCCTCCACACTTGGCGCCAAGAGGTGATGCCCAGGACAGGAGGGATCCCACAGCCTCTGCGCCCTGCCGCATGGGGGCACAGGAACCGCCCTAGCACCAGCTGGGATGGAGACGCTGGAAGGAAAAGGCTCCATGGCTCAAGGGGACCCTTTTGGCTCGGCACTGAGGCCTCTTTTGGAACTCGCAGAGAAAACCCCCCAGGGGTCTGACCCGGTCCCGGTCCCGATCCCGGCGTGGAGGGCTCTTCTCTCTCCTTCACGGACATTTTGGGGTGAAAAGCGGGAAAAAACGCATCTTCCTGCCCTGATCCCGCCCTCCCATGGGAGCGGGTGGGAAAAGCCCTTTGGGGTGGGGAATGGGGGGGGAGGCGGGACAGGGCGGGAGCCACGGCACTACCCCCCCGGCGGCGGCACCGCCGAGCTCCGGGCCGCCCTGATTAAAGGGGCGGGAGCGCCGGGGGCCGCCTGGGCACGGCACGGCTCGGCACGGCTCGGCACGGCTCGGCTCGGGGCGGCCCCACGCGGGACGAGGTGGGTGGCGAAGCCGCGCGCTCCGGGAGCGGCCCCCCCGTGCTCTCAGCCCGGGTGGGAGACAGCGGAGGGAGGCGGGGGGGTTCCCACGCCGCCGCGCTCGGGCATCCGTGGGTCACCGCCTTCGCTTTGGACTCGGCCGGGCCGTGCTGGGGCTGGCACACGGGGCGGGCGGGGTGCTGTGCCCGGGCACGGGGCCGGATCCTCCCCGCAGCTCCGCGCCCGAGTGCGGGAAGCGGCGCCGGGCGGGTGTGCTCGTGGGAAGCTGCTGCCCTTCCCGTCCCCACGGGATCGTGCCGTTCCTGGAGCCCTCACTCGTGCCACCCCTCTGCATGTAGGGCAGGAGCGCTGGGGTGAGCGTGGGGCGGGCAGGAGGAGGCAGCAGTACAGTGGGGGGGCACGGCTGGCATGCAGGCTGGCAGCCTCCTGTACTGCCCTTCTGTCCTGAGCATTGGGCATCAGTGGGGTCACAGCTGGGCTGGGTGCGATGGGGAGGGACGGAGTGGAATTGGGTGCTGGGCACGTGGCTCTCTGTGCTGGGACTTTCCACCTAGCTCTGCTTTCTCAGACCCAGTGCAGTACTCTGGACACAGCAGGGAACCCAAATGCACGAGCACCACTGCGGTGCAGCCCAGCCATGCCCACATCCTGCAGCGGGCAGCTCTGCGGGTTATCCGTCTTTACTTTTTTGTTTTGATGTTACGGCGTTTCACTCCTTTTAATTGCTTCTACCCAGTGCATCCATCACCACCGTGCCCAGAGGCGTGGGGTTGGCACAGGGTGGTGGCTGCAGCATCCTTTCCTGCTGTCCTGCAGGGCCCCACAATGAGTGGGAGGCTCTTACTCCTCTCCCTGCTCCTGGCCCCCCAGGCTGCTGCCGCACAGAAGAGGAGCCAAGGTGGGTGCTGAGTGCTGGGTACCATTATAGGGCCTACAGCAGGGTGAGAGGGGCTCTGCTGCTCCTTCCCACTGCAGCACCCCAAACTTGAGCTTGAGCACGGGGAGCCCTATGGGAGCGGCCACCAATGTAACATGAGCTCAAGGAGCAGGGACAGGTCTGGGGGTCCTGTGCCACAGGGCACCGGGGGCTCTTGTGGGTGCCAACCAATGCTGTCCCATAGCGGTGTGCGAGAACGTGCTGGAGGCCGACATCGTCTTCCTGGTGGACGGCTCGTCCAGCATTGGCCGGAACAACTTCCGTGCCATCCGTACCTTCGTGGAGGACCTGGTGTCACCCTTCGTGCATGTGGTGGGCCAGAAGGCGGTGCGCTTCGCCGTGGTGCAGTACAGCGACGATCCACGGTGAGCCCGGGGATGGGCATGCGGGGCTATGGGACCATGGGGCTGGAAAATTACGTGTCCCCATGTGTCCCGATGTCCCCAGGGTGGAGTTTGGCTTCTCCCAGCACACCAATGGCACAGGCATCCAGAGGGCCATCCAGCAGCTGAGCTACAAGGGCGGCAACACACGGACTGGCGCTGGGCTGCGCTACGTCTCTGACAACTTCTTTGGTCCCACGCAGCTCCGGCCTGGGGTCGCAAAGGTATGGGGTGGGGAGTGGCATTTGGGACATCCCGGAGGGATGCAGTGGGTCCATGGGGCTGAGGCTCATGGCTCTGCAGATCTGCATCCTCATCACGGATGGCAAGTCCCAGGATGATGCTGAGCAGCCAGCGCTGAGGCTGAAGAGCTTGGGCATCAAGGTCTTTGCTGTAGGTGAGCAGATCTGTGGTGTGCACATTGGTATCCACACCCCTGAGTAATGGGCTTCCCCTGGGGCTGGGCACTGCCATCACCCACCATTCCTGTCCCCTTCAGGGATCAAGAATGCCGACCGCCAGGAGCTGATCCGTGTGGCCTCACTGCCTACTGACTCCTTCTTCTTCTATGTGGGTGACTTCAAGCTGCTGGGGACACTGGTGCCACTGATGACACGCAGGGTGTGCACAAGCTCAGGGGGCACGCTACGCACCCCTGGTAGGAGACCTTTAAAAGAGGGCGTGGGAGCTGCCTTAATGCCTTCTCTTCACGCACCCCAGAGCTGACAGCTCCATGTCCCCCCACAGATGGATCAGGCCACGCTGGTCCCTCCAACCTGGAGGTCCTGGAGCACGGCTCTGATGTGCTGCGCATCCGCTGGAGCCCAGCCAGCGGCCCCGTCACCGGCTATAGGGTGCAGCGTGTCCCACTGACGGGGCTGGGGCAGCCGCTGGCAGCTGAGCGGCAGGAGGTGAGCGCTGCTCTGCACCCACTTGCAGTGCCTGGTGCCTGCTGGCATCGGGATGACACTGCTCCCACCCAGGTGAGCGTGGGTCCGCGGGAGACAAGCACCGTGCTGCGGGGGCTGCGCGCAGGGACGGAGTACCTGGTGACTGTCATCGCTCAGTATGCCAACAGCGTCAGCGAGTCGGTGTCTGTGCGGGCGCGCACTCGTGAGTACCCGTGGGGGATGCGGGTAGGTGCTGGCAGCACGTAGCTCACACTTGTCCCCGTGCTGTCCCCAGAGAGCCGTGGCGGCGTGCAGCATTTCCACGTGGCTGAGGCTGGGCCGACCTTCCTGAGGCTGTCCTGGCAGCCCGGCCCCGAGCCGCCCCAGGGCTACATCCTCAGCTACGCCGTGCCAGGTGAGGGGACATGCCGTGCCCCACAGGCACCTCTTTGGGGTAGCTGCGTGTGCTATAGCACCTGGCGGCCCCTCCCTGTCCCTGGGCGCTGCCCTGGCCCCCGTCCCAGCCTCACCCCGCGCTCCCCACCCCTGGCACCACTTGGCATCCCCGGGGCAGGGAGCTGCGCACACCCCTTCCCTGCCACACACCTGCCCTCGCCCCTCTGGGTCCCCCTCAGGAATGCCCCAGAGTGAAGAGAGGAGCCTGGGGGCTGGTGCGCTGTCGGCCACACTCAGCAACCTGCGTCCCAACACCGAGTACGTGGTGACGCTGCGGGCACGCTATGCACAGCAGCCTGCAGCCACCGCCAGCCTCACCGCGCGGACACGTAAGCACCATGCAGCTGTCCCAATGCAGGGGCATCACCTGTCGGGGGACAAGGAGATGGGATGGCACAACCTATGGGTCCCTTTTGCAGAGGCAGGCACAGAGCAGACGCTGCGGACCAACATCCTGAGCCCCACGTCCATTCAGGTGCTCTGGACTGCCATCCGTGAGGCCCGTGGTTACCGCCTGGAGTGGAAAAGAGCCACAGGTGGGCTCACAGCACCTGGTCCCTGACGTGGCATGGGGCCAGCGGTAACCCCTTTTGACATTGCCATTCCCACAGGGCTGGAGACCCCCAGGACAGTGTCGCTGCCCAGCAGTGCCAGCACCTACCAGCTGACAGGGCTGCAGCCAGGCACTGAGTACCGCATCACTCTGTACACGCTGTATGAAGGTGGGGAGGTGGCCACCCCCGTCACCACCTTCCAGACAGGTGAGCCCAGATCAAGACATGATGCATGGCATCACTGCAACAGAGCCATGGGACCTCCGGCTCGCTGGTCCTAGCTTTGGAGAAAGTTACAGCAGTGCCCCCCTGCAGGTGTGGAGGTACCAGTGGGCGCGGTGTCAGATCTCCGTCTCATCGAGGATTTGGGCAGGAGGGTGCGGCTGGGCTGGACCGGCGTCCCTGGTGCCACCGAGTACAAAGTGACAGTGCGCAACACCCAGGGTGAGCCAGCGGGATGGGGCCACGGTGCCATCGCTTGGTATCCCCCGTGGCACTGAGGGCCCTGTGGCACCCTGCTCCCTGCAGATGGCACCGAGAGGACGAGGCGCATCCCAGGCACGCAGACAGCGCTGGAGCTGGGTGACCTGCGGGAAGGTGTCACCTACCTGGTGCGTGTCTCAGCCCTCGTGGGCAGCAGGGAGGGCAGTGCTGCTGCACTCAGCATCCACGTCAGTAAGTGCGCATGGTTAGCCCCAGCCCTGGCTTGTGATGGCCACTCGGGGTGTCCCCATGCTGACGTCCTGGTGCCATTGGGCGTGCAGAGTTCCCAGCTGTGGGCAGTGTCTCGGAGCTGCGGGTGACGGAGGCTGGCCCCAACCAGCTGCGGGTCATGTGGAGGGGGCTGTCGGGCGCTGGGGGGTACCGGCTGACGTGGAGGGCCGGCGATGGTGAGTGCAGGACTTGGAGGTGATGTGGTGGTGCCGTGGGAGCTCTTCCCATCTCAACTGTCTCTCCCAGGTCAGGAGCAGTCCCGCTTCCTCCCTGCCAACCCCACTGTCTACACCATTGAGGGGCTGCGAGCTGGCACCGTTTATGCCATCGGTGTCACAGCCATCATTGATGGCCGCGAGGGTCCCCCTGTCACCACCATGGGGAGGACAGGTGAGGTGTGACCTTGCCTGCTGCTGCCAGCTGGTGCCAGGTGCCCTGACTGCAGGTGATGGTGGTTCTCCCTGTGTCACAGCAGCTGAGCAGGTGGGGACAGTATCCCGGCTGGAGGTGCAGTCATCCAGGAGCAATGTTGCCCGTGTCACATGGGTCGGCGTGCCAGGAGCCACAGCGTACCGTGTGGTGTGGAGCCGTCGGGACGGTAGCATGGGATGGGGACAAGGGTGGGGACAGCAATGATGGAGGCACCAGGGCTGATGTGTGGCCCTCGGCAGGGGGCTCGGAGAAGAGCCAGCATGTTCCCGGCCACATCAGCTCCTTTGACATCCCTGACCTGGAAGGAGGTGTCTCCTACACTGTGAAGGTCACAGCACTCATAGGCAACCATGAGGGCAACCCTGTGTCCATCATCGTTACCACCCGTGAGCATGGGGCTAGGGGACAGCACACGGGGGGAGTGGGCACCTCTGCCCTAATCCCTGCCCATATACCCCACAGCGGAGGCGGCCCCGGTGCCCCCTGTTAGCAACTTGCAGGTGATGGAGGCTTCGGAGCATCGCCTGCGCCTCACATGGGCGCCGGTGTCTGGCAGCAGCGGGTACCGCCTGGTCTGGCGCCCAGCTGAGGGTGAGTGTGCCCAAGCCCTGTGTTCCAGTGGCAGCCCTCGGCCCCTCACCTCTCCATCCCCACCAGGTGGTCCCCAGCGCAGCCAGCAGCTTCCAGCCACCGCCAGCTCCTATGACCTGGGAGGGCTGGAGCCAGGCCGGCGCTACCACATCAGCATCACCAGCATGGTGGGCAGCCGGGAGAGCGCACCGGTTGCCGTCACTACTGCCACCGGTAAGGAATATGTGATGCTGTGGGGAGGTTGGGATGGAGGAGAGTGATGAGTGTGGGAGTGGGTTGGGGGCTGCCCCGTGGGCTGGAGCACCCTGTTTCCCTTCAGCAGCGTCTCCAAGCCATGCCACCAGCCTGCGAGTGACAGAGGTGCAGAGAGACTCTGTGACGCTCTCCTGGACCCCTGTCCCTGGTGCTTCTGAATACGTCCTGTCCTGGACCCCCCCTGCAGGTGAGGCAGACACATGTCCGTGGGCGGAGGGCAGCTATCCCCAGGGATTTCACTGTCCCTGTCCCCCTGACTATGGGTACAGCGGGCGGCGAGGCACGGCGCGTGGTGCCGGGCACTGCCAGCTCCCTACAGATCCCTGGGCTGCGCCTGGGCCAGCGCTACACTTTCACCATCCGCCCGCTTCTGGGGAGCACACCTGGTGCTGAGAGCTCTGTCAGTGAGCGGCCAGGTATGCAGGTTGGGATGGGTGTCGGAGGGGCTGGGGTGCTCATGCTTCTGCTCCACCTTGCCCCTTCCCTCAGTCTGCAGGGACGCCCGAGGGGACATCGTGTTCCTGGTGCATGGCACACGTGACAGCTCTTCTGGTGCTGACGCTGTCCGCACGCTCCTCTCTAACACTGTCACCTCCATGGGCCGCCTGGGCCCCGATGGCACCCAGGTATGAGGCTTACGTGGTGTCAGGGGGCATGTGAGGAGGATGACAATGTCAACCTCTGTCCCTTGCCCTCGCAGGTGGGTCTGGCCACGTACAGTTACCGCAGCCTGCCCTGGCTGCTCCTCAACCGCTCCAGCGAGCTGCCCGCTGTGCTGGAGCAAATACGCACCATGCGCTACGAGGAGCCCAGCGGCAATGCCATTGGTGAGGGGATGGTGCTAGGGCTGGGCCAGTGTCCAGTGGGACCTTGCTGACCCCCTATCCTTTTATCCTCCCTCCAGGGGCAGCCATCACCTTTGCTAGGACCTATCTGCTGAGCCCTGGTGCAGGACGGCGGCCCAGTGTGCCAGCGGTGCTCGTGGTGGTGGCCGACGGCCCCTCCGGGGATGATGCCATCACTGCTGCCAGGGATGCCAAGGCAGCGGGTGAGGTTGGATATGGTCCCTGTGGGATGGGGTCCTCATGGGATGAGGTCCCCTTGGGTGCTCCAGCCAGGTACTGAAGGTGCTGTTGGTGCAGGGGTCCGAGTGCTGGCTGTGGGCTTGGAGGGGGCGGACCAGGAGCAGCTCCGGCGCATGGTCAGTGGTGAGGACCCACGCTTCGTCTTCCGCAACCGTGGTGCCCTGTCAGAGCTGGAGGGAGAGCTCACCGATGACCTCTGTACCATCATCTCCACCAGGGTGAGAGACTGGGGGATGCCCAGGGCTGGGGAGCAGACCCCATGGAGCCAAAGTCTTCCTCTCTCACAATTACATGTCTTCCTCTTGTCTCACCAGCCAGAGCCAGAGCCAAAGCCCTGCACTGTGCAGTGCCCCAGGGTGAGTATTCCTGTGGCATGGGGTCTCAGTGTGAGTTCCTCACCTTACCCACAGTGTGGGGATGAGCTGGGGGCAGCTGCTGCAGAGGGGTGCAGCCTCTCAGCTCTTCTCTCTGTCCCCTTGCAGGGAGAGAAGGGAGACTCTGGCGTGGCAGTAAGTGTTTGAGACCCCCTACAGCTGTGGGTTATGGCAGGGCTGCCATACTTGCAGCAGTTCTCAGTGAATGCTGATGGCTGGCTTTGTCTCTGCAGGGGCCACAGGGGCGTGTGGGGCAGCCGGGCCCCCCTGGAGAACCGGTAAAGTCCTGATGGGTAGTGTGGGGGGAAATGGGGAGCATTGCTACAGCCCCTGTGTCCCTTTGTCCTCCTGCTAAGTGGGTGTCGGGAAGGGATCCATACAGCCTTTACCACAGTGGTGGATGGAGGAAACATCCTTTGGCTCCTGCCTGCCACCAAGTCTGTGCTCTTTGCTGTCTCAGGGCCGCCATGGACTGCCCGGCCCTCCAGGACCTGTGGGACCACGAGGGCCACCAGGAGAGAGCGTTGAGCAGCTGGGCAAGAAGGGGGATAGGGTGAGTGCCCCCTGTATCTGCACATCTTGGAGTCCCAGGCACAGGGACCTCCCAGCCACTCCTGGGAGGAGTATGGCCCTGACGTGATGCTCCTCTCTCCTGCAGGGCTTCCCTGGAGCTGATGGGCGGCCAGGGCTTCCTGGCCCCCCCGGGAACCCTGGGACCCCTGGTCAGCCAGTGAGTGTGCATGTACCCATGGTTGGCTGGTGCTGATCAAACCTCGACCAATGGGCTCTATACATCCGTCAGCCTACTTTGCCTGCTCCCTAAGCTCTCTTCCTATCCATTCCCTGTGCTAGGGTGGTCTCCCTTGTTGGTGGGATCATTGCTGTCTCCATGCCATCCCATCCCAACCCATGCTATCCCATCTCATCCTGTGCTGTGCTTTTCCATGTCATGCCATGCCATGTCGTGTCATCCCATCCCTGCTTCCCTGGCTGGCAGGGACAATGCTTTCACCTTTTGTTCTTCTGTTTTCTAGGGCAACCAGGGCATTCCTGGCCCCCGAGGGGACCCTGTGAGTATGATCCCCCTCCTCCCAAGCACCATGCCTCCAAAGGCCCCCTTCTCACTGTTATTCATTTCCAGGGGCCACGAGGAACAGCGGGGCATCCTGGCCCGAAGGGGGAAAAAGGCGAGCCGGTAGGTGCTGAGCAGAGGACTACAGGTGGACATCTTATTCCTACTGCCTCCTAAGCTTGGCACTGGGGAGAGTCATGGCAAGGAACATGGTGGCACTGATTTTCTTTTTGTTTTTTTTTTTTTAAATTACTTTTCCCCTCATTCAGGGAGAGCCCAGAGTGATCGTGGATGGAGGACAGGGGTTGCCAGGACGGAAAGGGGAGCCAGGCACACCGGTATAGACGGGGCTGTGCATGCTGGGGGTGTCCACCAGTACTCTCTGCCCATGCAGCATCCCATACTCATAGAGTGTCTCTTTCTTCCAGGGTAGCACCGGCCCCCCTGGCAACCCTGGCCCACGAGGTCCCTTTGGTGACCCAGGTCCTCCGGGTCCCCTTGGGCCAATGGGGCTACCAGGACCTCCAGGAGACTCTGTGAAGGTACGTTTCAGCTGGTGCTGTGTGGGGATGGAGGGACAGCTGGCACCTTGAAGCTGCTTCCCATGCAGAGCTCCTGGTCCTGCATGGCTGTATTCATTGTCTATGACTCCCACATCATCCATCCTTATAATGAGCATGGCACATGCCCTGACCCTACTGCTGATGTGCTCTGCCCGTCATTGCCCCCATCATTTGAGGGGGGAGAGGGTGGAGGCATGAACAGAGCCCAGCCCCACCCTTACCTGCTCTCTTTACCTTGCAGGGGGAGAAGGGTGATCGAGGGGAGAGGGTAAGTGACCGTGTTTGCCTGGTACCTCTGCCTCCCGGGGCACTAGAAAGGGCTGAGTTATGGGGCTGCCATGCAGAAGCTCAGCCCTCTTTCCACAGGGTCCCCCTGGACTGGTCGATGGGGCAGTGCCTCGAGGGGAGCCGGGCCCCCCGGTGAGTGCTGGGCTCAGGGTGGGAGAGCAGGGCTGTGAGTCCCCCCAGAGGCTGAGCTGTGCCCTTGCCAATCTCTTCCAGGGTCCACCTGGGGAGCCCGGCCCACGGGGACTTGCTGGTACTCCCGGCCCCAAGGGTGAGAAGGTAAGAGGGAGGCAGGACCCCCCTTGTTCTGTGATGGGGACAGATAGCCCCAATTCATGGACATACTGCTGGCTTCTTCACTTCACAGGGTGACGGTGAGGAGGGATTCCCAGGGCCACCTGGACGTCCAGGGGACCCTGGAGACAGGGTGAGTGTTGTGGACAAGGCAGGGTGGGCAGAGCATTAACCCTGCTTGGGAGGTGACGTCTCTCTGCCTTCCTCTCCAGGGTCCACGGGGACCTCCAGGAGAACAAGGCAGGAAGGTGAGTGGTGAGGGGATGCTCTCATGGTGCACCCCAATCCCCCAACTCCTCTGTGGAGAGAAAAGGGATGTGGGTGCTGTGCACCCCTTGTACCAGCCACTAACACCATCTATCTTCCTCCTGCACCAGGGAGAGCGTGGGGCACCAGGCGAGCTGGGGGAGACTGGCCAGAAGGTGAGATGGTAGTGGTGTGTGGTTGGGCACTTTGATGGCTTCTGGTGGCCCTGGGGTCCAACGTGGCATTGTGCCCGTGGGAGGCTGCTGGGGGTCTTGAGTAGGACCATGGGCTCACCATGGGGTCCTGGGGGTGGGAGGATGGCTGCCTGAGATTCTGCTCTGCTTCCCTCTACAGGGAGACCGCGGTGCGCCTGGCCCCGAGGGTGAAAAGGTAGGTGGGCACCCGTGGCCATGGTCATGCCCTTCCTAGGAGCACCTTCCTCTTCCTCTTCCTCTCCTCCTCCAGGGTGAGACAGGAGCTCCAGGACGGCCAGGGCCATCGGGCAGAGAGGTGAGCATGGGCACCCAGAGCACTGTGGGGTGGCTGTGACACAGACATACGTCCCCAGGCACCGCCAACCTCTGAGTATCCTCTCTCTGCACCAGGGAGTACCGGGACCAGCTGGGCCACGGGGTGAGAAGGTGAGGGAGAAGCAGAGCCTGGGGCTGGGGTTGTGGGGAGGGAATGGCACTGACCCCATGTGTCCACAGGGTGATGTGGGAGCGCCTGGTGAACCTGGCCAGCCGGTAAGTGCTGCCGCCTGGCATCCCGCCCCATTCCTGGCGTGAGGAGTAGTGGCTGCACCCAGCACTGTCCCTCCTGCTTTGTCTCCAGGCTCCCAGCGTGGCCAGTGTCAGAGGAGAGAAGGTAGCCTTGTCCCTGACCTTTGGTATTGTCCCCATGGCACAGCTGGGATGGGGGCATAGCACAGTGGTGCTGGATGCCCACGCTGATCCTCAGCTGCAGCATGATGAAGGGGAAGTCTGGGGGGACTAATGGTGCCATTTCATCTGCTCCAGGGTGACAGAGGATTTCCAGGACCAGAGGGGCCTCCTGGCCCCAAGGGTGATGTAGGGGAAAAGGGTGCCCGTGTGAGTACCTTGAGCTGGGCAGGTGCTGGGGCATGCAGCCCATCTGGGCTCTCCTTGCTGTGCGTTTTTGCTGGTCCCGCTGTCCCAAGCCGCTTTCCTTTGTCTTTAGGGTGTCCCTGGCCTGAGCATCCCAGGACCAACTGGCCCCAAAGGCGAGCAGGGCGAGCGGGTGAGTGCACATAAATGCATGGAGCTGGGCTCTGATCTCATGCCCAAGTACCCATTAACAGCACTGTCCTTCTGCACCTCCCAGGGCATCACTGGCCTCACTGGCAGGAGCGGTCCCAAGGTAATGGCATTGCAGGAGGCTTCACTCCTTTGTCCATCTGCCCATCCATCATGTGTTACTGAGCCCTAGTTCCCCTGGTCTTCCTCTTTCCCCCTCAGGGTGACGCAGGGGAGCCGGGTGAGAAGGGTGAGCCAGGCAGAGTGGGTGCACCAGGACAACCAGGGCAGCGTGGCAAGGAGGTAGCGTGGGGCCAGGAACAGTAGGAGATGCTATGGGGATGCTGAGGCCCCAAGGAAGGGGGAGCAGCACAGAGGGACACTGGTGACTTGTTCTCTTGTCCCCTCACCTGTGCTTTAGGGTGAGCGTGGAGAGAAGGGTGATGAAGGCACCCCGGTAAGTGGGAAACTCATGGACCACTGCCTCCCTGTTGCCCCCCAGCCCACTCACCCCATCTATCCCTCAGGGTGAAGCAGGGGTACCTGGCAAACCTGGAGACAGAGGTCCACGGGTAAGTACTGGGCTGGTGGGAGCCCTGAGCCAGGGGAGAACTTGGTGGCCTTGAGTGGCCCAGGGTAACATACATCTCCCCATACCCCCCAACCAGGGGCTGCCTGGGTACCGTGGCCCCCCTGGAGAGAAGGGTGAACTCGGAGACCCAGGTCCTGAAGGCAGAAACGTGAGTGCCACCACATGAGTGCCCATGGGTACCCCCTGACCCGATGGGTAACCCCATCTCCTGGGTACCCCATCCCCCTTCTCACTCATCCCTCTCCACAGGGCATTCCCGGAGCACCTGGCACCAAGGGTGACCGCGGGGAGCCGGTGAGTGACACCCACCCAGGTGCCAGATCTGCACCCCCTCCCCAATACACACCAGAGCTCATTAACAAATTTGCTCTCTTTTCTTTCAGGGCCCTCCTGGACCCCCAGGACGAGCTGTAAGCTGTACCCTCCCCCTTTCCTGCCAGCAGGTCTGTGCCCACTCTGATGTCCCCTCTCTGCTCCACAGGTGGATGTGGGGCTTGGAGGAGTAGGAGAGAAGGGTGAGAAGGTAACAAGAGGTGATGATGTGATGCTTTGCTGTGAGACTGCAGCATTGCACTGCTTCTGACCACTATGTCATCCCTGCCAGGGGGATGCTGGGGACCCGGGCGAGGATGGAGCAAAGGGGGCCAAGGGTGAGAGTGGCCCCCCCGGACTGCCGGGGTTGAGTGTAAGTGTGGGGTGAGTGACGACCTGGAGAGCCACGGTGGGCCCTGGGGTTGCGCCCACCATTGTCATGTATCACTTGCAGGGCATTGAAGGCCCCCGCGGCCCCCCCGGCGCACGGGTGAGTGCCCCTTTTCCCCTTCCCATGCTCAGCCCCACTTGGGGATGGAACAGTGCTTACTCCGTCCTCTTCCCATAGGGTGACCCTGGGGACCGAGGCTTGCCTGGAGAGAAGGTGAGGGGGATGGGGGCTGCCCACCACCCCCTGTTTCTCTGTGCAGCACAGTCCTCATGCAGTGCTCTGTTCCAGGGGGAACGTGGCCCACCAGGGCTGGATGGCCGCAACGGACTGGAGGGGAAACCTGGCCCTCCGGGACCCACCGGGCTGAGGGTGAGCGTGGTCTGGGGTGGCACTGGAAATGGGAACAGGGGATGAGGGCGGTGGTGGGGCAGAGGCATCCCACTGCACATCTGCTGGAGGTGCTCATGGGATGCTCACGTCCTCTTCATCTATAGGGGGACCCAGGGAAGCAGGGGGACCCTGGCCGAGATGTAAGTATCTCCTGGGAGTGTGGGTGTGCATTCTTCTCCTGCTGGGGACATGACGCTTCTGTTTCGTGCCCCTTGGTCACTGTCCCCCATCCCATGCCATGCCACCATGCCCGGCTGTGCTCTTACCTCCCATAGCAGAGGCTGTATCCTGTTGCTGCCCTGTGCCTCCCCTTTTCTCCTGTCCCTGCAGGGGCTGCCTGGGCTGCGGGGGGAGCAGGGACCGCCTGGCACAATAGGACCGTTGGGACCACCTGGTATCCCTGTGAGTAACAGCCCCGTGTGCCATGGGGACACGTTCTGCTGCAGGGACACGTTCTGCACTGTGCCTCTGCACTTGGTCCCAGCTCTCCTAGGGGACATCAGTAGGAGCTGGGACACCATGACTGCCCGTGCTGGGGGCTCCTCTCACTGCCTCTCCTTCCTCCCAGGGAAAACCCGGTGACGATGGCAAACCTGGCCTAAGTGGCAAGAATGTGAGTAGAGCATGGGGTTTGGCTTTGGGGTGCTCATGAGAACCTTGAGGGCTGGCAGCCCCAAACTGGCACAGAGCCGAGGGAGGCATGTGGCACAGCACCCCATCCCATGCCCTTGGGACTGCCCCTGTCCTGCCCACTGCTTGTGCTGTGGGTGCCAATTCATAACCTCCATCCCAAGGGAGAAGATGGGACGCCAGGAGAAGATGGGAGAAAGGTGAGGAGCAGTGCCCTATGTGGTCCCCATTGCTGTCACTTCTGGACTGAGTCTTTTTTTTTCCTCCTCCTGGTTAGGGAGACAAAGGTGATGCCGGAGCCCCTGGCAGAGACGTGAGTAGCCCTGTGCTGTGGGTTGTCCCCACTGGGGACAAGCTGGGACAGCACCCAGTCACTGGGGGTGACACAACTCTCTCGGCAGGGCCACAACGGTGCCAAGGGCGAGCAGGGGGACAGAGGCATGCCTGGCCTCCCTGGCCCTCCTGGTGTCCCTGGTGTCCCAGGGCAGGTTGGCCCCCCAGGCCAGGTTTGTTATCCTCAAGCTCTAGCTGCCCCATGGTTTACTTGAGGCCCCATGTCCATGGGTGCCATTGTGTCCCATCTGTACTTCCAGGGCTCGCCCGGCCTTCGTGGGATCACTGGACCAAAGGTAGGTGTCCTCTAGCGCTCTGTGACAAAAGTCTGGGGGGGTATCCGTGCTGGAGGGGGTGAGTCCTTCGGGGACCCTGTGGCTGGGCAGCCTGGCCCTTCTCCCCCTGACTGCTTTGCTGTATTTCAGGGGGACCCAGGGGAGCCAGGGCCACGAGGGGAGCCAGTGAGTATCCAGCACTGAGCACTGTGGGAGAACCACAGCCTCTCCCAGGCAGCACCCTGTGGCGTTCACTTTAAAACCTATTAGTGTAGCAGCAGTGCTGCCCACCTCACCCATGGCACATCCCATTCCCTCTTGCTCTGCAAACTTAGGGGCGGCCTGGTGTCAGTGGAGACCCTGGGACTGCAGTGGTGAGTTCCCCACTGGGCTGGGACATCAGCCTTGGAGGTCCCCAGAGCCCCAGTGGTAGAAGCAGCACCATAGGCTTCCTTTCTCATGTCCTTTTATTGTAGAACATCGAACGTAGCCTGGAAGCCCTCGGCATCAAGGTATGGGGTGGGCATGGGTATGGGGCCAGCTGGTGGTGAGAGACCAGAGGGGCGTGGGATGGGGCACTGGGGCTGGAGTGCATGACTGCTGATCACTGCCTCTTTCCTCCCTTCCAGATCTCATCTCTGAAGGAGCTGACGGGTGCCTATGATGGCAGCTCGGACTCCTTTCTGCCTGTGTCCGAACGGCTACGGGGGCAGAAGGGCAGCCGGGGGGAGCCAGGGGAGAGGGGTCCCCCAGGCCGGGAGGTGAGCACTGTGGTGCTCCAGGGGGTCACTTCTCGGCTCAGACTCATTGCCACCTTCCCCCTGCCCACCTGGCTCTGAGACCTGAGCCCTGCTGAATCCCTCCAGCCCTAGGATGCTCTATGGGGGCTCGCAGCTCCCTGCATTTTGAGGTGCCCACCCCACAGTCTGGTATGCTTTTTTGCAGGGTTCTTTAGGCTTCCCTGGTGAGCGAGGACCCAAAGGTGACAAAGGGGACCAAGGTGCCCCTGGTCCTCAGGGCCCCGCAGGCCGGGCTGTGGGCGAGCGGGGCCCAGAGGGGCCACCGGGGCAGCCAGGGGAGCCAGGCAAGCCGGGCATCCCAGGGGTGCCAGGCCGGGCTGGCGAGCTGGGGGAGGCCGGGCGACCTGGTGAGAAGGTGAGTGTGGGGGTGTAGGCAGGGGGACATGGCTTCTGGGCTTGGGGACAGCTTCATGAGCCCCCCACCTCTTTTTTGCAGGGTGACCGGGGTGAGAAGGGCGATCGGGGTGAGCAGGTGAGCCGTAATGGGAATGCAGTCCCCTCTGTCCCTCTGCTTTTCATAAGACTTGGATATGCCCCATGGACTGAACATTCTGGGGATTCTCCATCTGTTTTCCTTCTCACCAGGGTAGAGATGGCTTGCCAGGCCTCCCAGGGCCCCCAGGGCCCAAGGTAGGTGATAGATGCTGCTGGGGACTGTCCCCAGGAGGTGCCAGTAGATGCCTCCAGGGATGAATTTCATGTCTGGTCCCCTGGCACAGGGGCTCAGGAGGGGTTGTGCCACTGGGGGACCTCCCTGGGGTCCCCTGGATGCCAGCCCTGACCACGCTGTGCCTGCAGGCAGACGCAATGGAGGGCAGCCTGATGGGCTTCCCAGGCGAGCGAGGTCCCCCTGGACTTAAGGGAGTGAAGGTGCGTGTCCAGGAGAAAGGAGCAGGGCAGTGATGGAGCCAGAATCTGAGTTCTTTGAGGAGGGATGATGTGATAATTGCCAGCTGTGATGGGCTGGGAGAGTGGGCATCCCAAACTGCAGCATGTGGGTCTGATGGTATCTCCTTCCTCCTTCCTGCAGGGTGAGCCTGGTGCCGAGGGCGAGCGAGGACCCAAAGGAGATAAGGTCTGAGTGTAGTAAGTCTCCTGTGGCTCCTCTGCTTCTCTGTTCCTCACTCCCTTTCTGGGCTCAGCATCGGTCTCTGCTCTCCTCTCTTCATGTGCTGCCAACAGGGTGACCCCACAGAACGAAGCCCTGGGCAGGGGCACAACTGGGGACATCCCTCTCTGGGTGCAAGTGGGATGTGAGGGCATGTGGGGGACAGGGACATCCGTGCCTGTAGCACAGGTCCTACAACTCTGTACTTCTCCCCACATCAGGGTGAAGGTGGATCACGGGGCGAGCGAGGAGAGCCTGGCGAGAAGGGCAGGGATGGCTCTCCAGTGAGTATGGCACCAAACCTCCATTCTCATTTCCCCCTCCATCGTCCTTGTCATCTCCATCCCTGTCACATCCTGCATCACCCCTGTGGTTTCCACCTCCGTCTCTATGATGTTCTCCATCACCCCCATGGACTCATCTCCATTCCCATTACATTCTCCACTCCCATGAACTCCATCTCCATCCTCATCATGTTCTCCATCTCCATTATGGTCTCTGTTGCTCCCATTGTCTCCATCTCCATCCTCATCACAATCTCCATCAACCACCCCCACTGTCTCCATCTCAGTCACTATCCCTATCATCCCCATCTCCATTCTCATCACCACTATTGTCTTCACCATCTCCATCTCTTGCTCCAGGGCCTCCCAGGAGAGAGGGGTCTGGCTGGCCCCGAGGGGAAGCCGGTGAGTGTGGCTGCAGGGGGCTGAGGTCTGGGAGGTGTGGGCAGATCCCATGGTTGCACAGCAGTCACCACCAACCCAAAGGGAGCATTCACATGTTGTTTGCATCCTTCCCTCCTACACAGGGCCCGCAGGGCTTTAGAGGGCCCCCTGGCCCCTCAGTAAGTACCCTTGGGTGGGTACTGCATGGTGACACTGCATTCATCCCCCAGGGAGCTTTATGGGCAGGCGGGGCTGGTTGGAGGTGGTGTGGTCCCGCTCCCCTGCTGGCTATAATGTGCTTCTTTGCAGGGCTTGCCAGGTTTCCCCGGTGTGCTGGGCCGCCCGGTAGGTGTCTGTCCCCAGCATGTCACTGTCCCCCTGGCTCCTGCTCGGTGTGTGCTAGGCATGGCGCGTCCTGCTGGGAGCTGGCCAGGCTCGTCCCTGCATGGCATGGGTGCTTCCCAGAGCCCCTGTGCACCAGGGACATCCTGACCACATCTCTCCCTCCCTCCCAGGGCAATCAGGGAGAGCCAGGGCCACCAGGACCTCCGGTAAGGAGACCTCTGTGTCACGTGCAGGGCACTGCAAAGGGCACAGCAAAGGGGACTTGGGGCAGATGTCTCCACAATGAGTGGGGTTGATAGCCCTGGGATGGCACTGTCCTGGTACCTCTTCCCACCCCATAGAGCTGTGCCAACAGTGGGCATTGTCCTGAATGTAATGTCCTCTGCAGGGTGCTGCTGGCCCACCAGGGAGCCAGGGTCCATCTGGGATGAAGGTACGCCATTGCCATTGTCATCATCACCTTCATCATCTCCATGTTTGGTCTGGTGCAGGAAAGAGATGCCACGCCAGCACTGTGGGCTGCAGGGAGAACTTGGAGTCTGGCCCCTTCTAGAGGCACTCAGTGCTCAGGGGACATAGGGATAAAGCTGTGATGATTGTGGCAGGGAAAGGGATCAGCAAGACTGACATGGGTTCTGTCCCCACAGGGTGATCCAGGGGAACCTGGTGCCGGCATCCGGGTGAGCCTCCCCAAACCCAACCCCTTCCTGGAGACAGCTGAGCTCCCGCTGTCCCAGAAAGACATGCCAGCGTGGCATCTCCTCTCTGATTCCACTGTTCTCCTTGCAGGGATTGCCTGGTCCGCAGGGCAGCATGGGGCTGCCTGGCCCTCCAGGACCACCTGGTCTGGTGGTAGGTACCCCCAACGCAGTCCACAGGAACAGCCCTTCCCACTGCCTCAGCTGTGGGTTGATTTCTGGTCATTTGTCCATCACAGGGCCCTCCGGGTGCTCCTGGGCTGCCAGGACAAGTGGTGAGCATGTGCCCTATTGAGCTGGCCTCAGCCTTGGGGCATGCCAACCCCATAGCTGCCTGGCTGTGGGATGTGCGTAGCCTCAGCTCCGCTCTCACACTCTGCAGGGGGAGAGTGGCAAGCCAGGTGTGCCTGGGCGGGATGGTGTGCCAGGGAAGGACGGCGAACCAGGGATGCCCGGGAAGTTGGTATGACAGCCAGTGCCATCGCACTGGGGCTGGGGGCTCAGCACAAGCTGCAGAGCTGGTGCTCATGGCTGTGTGCTTTGTGCCAGGGTGTGCCAGGACCATCAGGCCCTACTGGCCCCAAAGGGGAGCCAGGGGATGCGGGAGTGCCGGGGCAGGTGAGTGCTTCCTTGCAGCTTCCCCTGCTCACCAGGGCTAGCAGATGACCACAGCCCTGCTGACTGCTGCCTCTCTCCCCTCTGCCCCAGGGCATTGCTGGCCCTCCTGGTGCCAAGGGCGAGAAGGTAAGGAATGGGGTGTGCATGTGAGGGAGACCCTCCCCACAGCCGGCAAAGGTCTGTGCCTGACCCTGTGTTGCTGCAGGGTGAGCCGGCGCTGCTGGAGGGCGTGCTGCTGGGTGAACCTGTGAGTTGGTGCCTATAACCCCATCCCTGTGTCTCCCTGGGCTGAGCCAGGCCCCGGCAATTCTCTCCCATCCCCAACACTGCTCTTTCTGCCTAGGGTTCCAAAGGTGCCCGAGGTTTGCCTGGCCCCAAGGGTGAGAAGGTGAGGAGGTGTTGTGAGAGTATCAGGCTCTCTTGGGTTGCAGCCATCCCTACTCCCCCCACCTGTCACCCACCCTTGCTCTTTGCTTCTGTCCTCCTGCCAGGGGGAGCCTGGAGGAGCTGGGGAGCCTGGAGACCCCGGCGAAGATGTGAGTAGAGGATGTGAAGGGGAGCTGATGGGTTCACATCCTTACCCTGTACCCTGAATAGCTCTGTGTCTTTGCAGGGAGCCAAGGGATCATCTGGAGTCAAGGGGGAAAAGGTGAGAATCCCCATCCCAAGTGCTCTGCCACCCCTGTGCTCCCAGGGATGACTGTCCCCAAACTCTCTGACACCACACAGGGCACTCCAGGTGTCGGTGTGCGGGGACCACCAGGACAGGATGGACCTCCAGGTTTGAAGGTAAGCCCTGCCTTATCCCTGGTCCTATGTCCGCTCCCTGTCTGCCTCTGAGGAGGCTGTTTCCCTGGCCATGTCTCCTTCCTCCTTGCTGCAGGGTGACATCGGTTTGCCAGGACCTCCTGGACCACCGGGATTAGTGGGCATCGCTGGGGCACCGGGACAGCCAGGCCTGAGAGGGGACAGCGGGCAGCCTGGCCCACCAGGAGCCCCTGGAGAACGGGTAATGGCAGTGGGCTCAGGCAGCACCAGTGAGGGCTCAGCAGCTCCGTTCCCTGCCTTGAGCCCTGACACCGCTGTGTCCCCCCCAGGGTGCAATTGGCTTCCCTGGGAGGGATGGTGCCGCAGGGCCACCTGGACCCCAAGGGCCCCCAGGGCCAGCGGTGAGTATGGGGCTGCAGCATCCCAGGGTAGGTGCAGGATCCCTCCCTGGTCCCTTGCTGGCTCATTGGGGGCTGATGGGGTCACCAGCCAGAGCACCTGGCACAGCTCTGTTTACTCACCCCTCTCCTTTCCTTTAGGGCATACAAGGGGCCTCAGGGCTGAAGGGTGACAAGGTAGGACCGGGGACAGTGCTATGGCACAGAGGTGCGGGGCTTCTCCTCTTGTGGGGTGCTACTGCTCCCTCTTGGCTGATGCTGAGCCCACTGTGGGTGATGGCACCTGGCAGCCTGCTATGTGTACTTGGGGCAGTGCAGGGGGCATGGGATGGTGGGGAGACACAGCTGGGGCCACAGGACCTGCTTCTTGCTGAGGTGAGCTGCACAGGGGAACAAACTCTTGTGTTTCCCCCACAGGGTGACCCAGGGGCTGGGCTGCCGGGAGCCAGAGGTGAACGTGGAGACCCAGGACCACGGGTAGCTAGCACCATAAAATCCCCCTGCCCATACCACCATGGCACTCCCATGTCCCCACCACGAGGGGTGCCTCCCTGACCCACTCCTCACACCTCCCCTCCTGCTTGCAGGGTGAAGATGGGCGCCCAGGGCTGGCAGGCGACCGTGGGCCAATGGTACGTACCAATCAGCTCACCATCCCCCCAGGTAGGCTCCCCCAAACCAGCATTCTCCTCTTTCCCAACAGGGCTTGCCTGGGAACCGAGGGGAGCGTGGGGACAAGGTAAGGGATCTCTTTTGGGGCTGGGGAGCCAGAGAAGGAGGGCTCCCACTCCTGCGACATCTTACTGTATCCTCCTTGCAGGGAGACGTCGGGGCCGTGGGGCCCAAAGGAGACAAGGTGAGACCCCCAGGGCTGGGGCAGGGGGTGGCAGTGCTGTCCCACCCCAGCTCACACCCACCTCTCTCCTGCATGCAGGGCGATACCGTTGTGGTGGAGGGGCCTGCTGGGGCAAGAGGCAGCAAGGGGGAGCCGGTAAGAGCTGGAGGTCTGCTGGGGGACCCTGCCTCAGGAAGCATGTCCACCCCATAGACCCCTATGTCCCTGCCCAGGCAGCTCTTTCCTCCCCACCCCAATGATCCCTGATCCCATCCTTCTGCTCTCCCCTTTGCAGGGAGACCGTGGCCTAAAGGGCTCCGAAGGGGACAAAGGGGACAAGGGGGAGCAGGGAATGCCCGGCGAGAAGGTATGAGGCGGGGGGGCAGGGCTGGGAAGTGGTTGGCAATGGCTAGAGGGACCTAAGAGCATGACGGCATTCTTGTGCCCCATGTGCATCCAGGCCTCTGGCACAGTGCTGGGCGTCCTGTCAGTGTGTGGCCCTGCATTTGCCAGAGCTCTTCCTCCTGCCCAGTGCTTATTTGGGGCTGTGCTTGCAGGGTGCAAGGGGTGAACCAGGTGAGAAGGGCTCTGCAGGCTTTCCTGGGGCACGCGGCCCTGGCGGGCAGAAGGTAAGTAGCTGGGCACCCTGCACCACAGTGGGGTCCTCTCGCTTCCCACTAGCCCTCACCCACATCTTTGCCTTTGCCTTTACCAGGGAGAAGTTGGCGTGCCGGGGGAGCCTGGTGAGCCGGTGAGGAGCTGTGTCTCAGTACCAGTGCCACCCCACTGTGGGGCAGGAGTAGTCCTCATCATGCTGTGTGCTTCTTGCAGGGTTTGCCTGGTCGGGATGGCATTGCTGGAGCACGAGGAGAGAAGGGGGACATGGGGCCACTGGGCTTGCGTGGCCCCAAGGTGGGTGAGCCCCTGTGCTCCGTGGCCAGGACACGTGCTGGCTTCGCGGGGCTCTGACTCCCTTTGTCCCTGCAGGGTGAGCGGGGCATGAAAGGCGCCTGTGGCCTCGATGGGGACAAGGGTGAGAAGGTGAGGGGATGACCATCCTGTAGCCAGGACCTCAGCCCTGCAATAGGTTCACAGGGTCCCCCCTCGTGCCTGAGGGAGGTGCGGGGCTGAGGACTGACACCTGCTTTGCTCCTGCAGGGAGAGCCGGGGCTGCCAGGGCGCTCGGGGCTGCCAGGAAGGAAGGGTGAGCCGGTAAGCACCGTGCCAGCACCGTGCTGCGAGGGGGATGTGCATCCAGGGGCTCATAGATGTGTTTCATCCCCCAGGGAGAACTGGGGTTGTCTGGAGCACCCGGCATCCCTGGGAAGGAGGGGCTCATGGGACCCAAGGTAGGGCAGTGGGAGGATGTGCTGAGACCTCAGGAATGGCCCCTCAGGGCTACTCCTCCTGAACTCTTGCTGCCTGCACCTTCCTCTACACAGGGTGACCGTGGCTTCGATGGGCAGCAGGGAGCCAAAGGAGACCAGGGGGAGAAAGGAGATCGGGTGAGCTGTGCGATGGAACTGCATAAGTCACACTGCATTGCTCGTACTGGGATCAAGCCTTGTCCAAAGGGCACTAAAGCTCCCAAAGGTGCCTACTCTGGGCTGTACATATGTGGTTGTCCCCATACTGACCATCTGTTCCATCATAGGGTGCACCAGGCATGATCGGTACCCCTGGTCCCCGGGGCAGTGATGGTGCTCCCGGCCCCCCTGGCCCCCCAGGCAGCGTTGGGCCACGAGGTCCTGAAGGCATGCAGGGCCAGAAGGTGAGTCTTTGTCCCCCAAGAGGCCAAGGATTGGTGGCATCAGGAGCCGTGTCCCAGCTCCATACCTCCCCCACCAACTCAGTGGCTTTGGGGACCTCCCTGTGTCCCCCTGCTCAAGGGAGGGTTAGGAGCAGTGGTTTGGGACCCCTGTCCTGAGGCTGGGCTGGAGCCAGATGGGATGTGCCCATGTTCTTTACAGGGGGAAAGAGGCCCCCCTGGGCAGGCAGTGATGGGGGCCCGCGGTGTGCCTGGTATCCCTGGTGAGCGAGGAGAGCAGGTGGGTGAGCCCAGCCCTGCCCAGAGCAGACCCAGTGATACAGCTCTCAGCCCCACTCTGTTTGTCCCTAGGGCAGTCCTGGTGCTGAGGGACTCCGTGGGGAGAAGGGGGATCCGGGCATGACGGTAAGGGGCTGTCAGCACGGGGCCAGCAGGTGGGAAGGGGCACTGCATCCATCCCACTGCTGCTTATGGAACATACCCAACTCCAGACTCGGCTCTGAACCTGGGGAAAGCTTTTTCCTATCTCTAATTGTGCATTCTTTGCTCCACCACTGGGCAGGAGGAAGAGATCCGCGCCTTCGTCAGGCAGGAGATGAGCCAGCACTGTGGTGAGCACCTCACAGCCGCCCTGGGTTTGGGGATGCCCCACAGAGCCCCTTGCTCACCTCCACTCCATCTCTCCTGCAGCATGTGGAGGGCAGCTCCCGCGGCGCTTGGATTCCCGTGAGCACTCAGGTTGTGTTTCTGTTCCTCTCCCCATGCCCTTGCCTGTCTCTCAGCACTCAGTGGGGCTGTAGGGTCATAGAATATCCCGAGTTGGAAGGGACCCAAAAGGATCATTGAGTCCAACTCCTGCTGGGATGTGGGGCACAGCAGTGGGTGGGATGGGGTGCAGGGTTCCAGCACAACTGGATGCTTTTTCTCCAAGGAGGATGGGGGACTCGGCCCAGGAGCATCCTTCAGTCTGCCCATGGAGGAGGGAGAAGTGTCCGCCAAGAGAAGGAGCACAGCCAAACAGGTGATGGAGAGTGTGGAGCTGCATCCAGGTGCATCGGAACACAGCCTTCTTGAGCCTGGCAGTGCCACCTCCCTGACAGGAGTTGCACTGTGCTCCCAGGGCACTTCTGAGCCTGCAGGGAATGGGGCATCCCCAGGACCCCTCCCCTGGGCAGTTCTGGGCTACTCTGCACCTGAACAGGGGTTTCCCATGTCTGCTGTTCTTCCCTCCCAGATCACTCCCCCCATTACCCACCCACTGAGCCATTCCCAGATCTCAGTGCTCATGTTGTTCCCGTGCTTAAAGTGTCGCATGCAGAGGAGGAGGAGGGTGAGTGCTGTCCCTGTGCATTTTGTTCCTTTTATTCCCTATATGTACATTGCAAGCCCTGTGCTGACAGGTACCCAAGGATGCCCAAAGGCCACGGGATAGCCCAGTGCTGCACTCACTGCCAGTGTTGTCTGCAGGGCAGGACAGGCGTGTTGTCGTTGACACCAATGACCTGGAGTACGACAGCATGTATGGGGAGCAGGAGGACTACGACACAGCTCTGGATGCAGGCAGCTTGGAGCAGCTCGCAGAGGATGGTGAGCTCCCTGTGCCCCACAGGGCACCAGGCATAGCACAGGTGACCCCATGGTGCAGGGGCTGCCTTGTTCTGCTGGGAACCCAGTGCACCAAGCCTGTGCCCTGGGGTGGGCACTCTAGCAGCACATGGCTTGTTCAGGCATTGGGTTCCCCATGCTCCTGGATGAGAGATGCTGGTCCGTGTTGCGCCCTCACCATTGCGCTTTGTCCCTGCAGCCGAGCCCTGCCACCAGCCCATGGAGGAGGGGGGCTGCCAGCGGTACACACTGCGCTGGTACTACAACCAAAGAGCCGCCGAGTGCCGGCCCTTCGTCTACAGCGGCTGCCAGGGCAATCTCAACCGCTTCGGCAGCCAGGAGGAGTGTGAGCTCCACTGCAGGCAGCGCATGGGGACAGGTGGGCACAGCACGGCTATCAGCTCTGGCAGCATCGCACCTGGTGCTGTGCTTGGTGCCACCTCACCTCCCCCACAGGTGCTGGCAGCGGGGAAGGACGGCGGCCGGAGGCGTAGCGTGGTGATCCCTGCAGGAACATGGTGCTATTTCTGACGTCTCTTCTTGTTGCTCATGGGTTTTTCCCTTTACATTGGTTCTATTCGCCCGTTGAAGGTGAAATTTCTATCAAATGGGAACACAGCCTCCCCATACGCCTTTTATCTGGTTTCCAAACCAGAGCTCTCTTGGGATGTTGGCTTGATTTTTAACTTATTTGCTGTCAATGGGACAGCTCTTGACCCCATGTTCCTTTTTTGGCTGCCCAGAGCTGGGAGTGGGCACAGTTTGAGCCCTTCCCCAAACCCAATACTTCAAATCCCCAAGGCTGTGGGCTGCCCTCATCACCCTCTTGGGCTCCCAGCGTGCAACCACGCAACCTGCTCCATTTGAATGAATTTCACCTTCACCCCACCTGGGTCCCGGTTCCCCTTTTGGGTGCGATGGTTTGGCAGAGAACTGCAGGAGGGAGGGAGGCTTTCTCCATGTACTGCCCTCCGGCTCGCACCTCTGCCTGGAAACTGGGACACACCAGGGAGACCCTGAGGATGGTGCTATGTTAGAGGCGATTCCTGCTCATCAGGAAGGTGACTGACGCTGGCTCCTGCGCAGCCTAGACGCACTGCTGCTCTGTGTATATCTGTATACAGCAAATGTATATGTGTACCAATGCAGGGGTGGGACACGGTATTAAAGATGTGCTCATGGAAGAATGCTCTGCCTCTTTGTGTGCCACAGGGTCTGGGGCAACAAAGCCAACCTGACCCCCTTGTCTCTGGCCCTATGTCTGCTGGCAACCCGTGTCTTCCTGCCCGCAGTGCCCGCTGGCTGCCCTCCTGCCCTGGTGCCCCCTGTCCCCATGTCCTGTCCCTGTGCCTTGATGACGCACACGTGCCCACGACCCACAGACACGTGGGGCTGCGGTGCAGTGTGAATCAGTGCCTCGGTCTAATTTTGGCCATTCTGCCATGCCGGGGGGTGAGTTCCTGTCCTGTCTCCAGAAGGAAGAACAGAGCCCCATTTATTTCCTCTCTCCACCACCCCACAGGCACAGTCACTCCAGCCCGCAACAGAGCCTGTGGGCATGCTCGGTTCTATGAAGCAGCAGTTGGTTGGATGTCCAATGTGAGATAATTATGCCGGGTTCCCGAAATCCCCTCCAAATTCAGCTCCATGAGCTATGAGGGGACAAACGCCCACCCGCATCCCGGGGTGATTTCATCTGTGATGAGTTATTATCTGTGATGTGTTAATAGTGGCCCTGCTGCACGCCACCCGGGGGGGGGCGGGAGGTGGAGCTGGGGCAGGATAAGAGCCAGGGCTCAGCTCTGAGCAGGGCAAACCCCATCTGCCACCCCTACACCGTGAGAGCAGCGGGGGACGAGGACTGCAGGAAATGGTGAGGCTGCACCTCTGAGTGGTGCTTTGGGGGGATTTACCCGGGACATGGGTCACAGGGGTTGGATGCTTTCTGCCATCACTCACCACCCAGTTTCCAGCTCATCCAGCTGCCTCTGGCTGCGCACTCCGATGCTTTCCAAAGGGTTTCACCCAGGAGGTGGAGTAGAGAATGAGGATGCTGGCTGCATTCCACTGCTTCCCTCTGGATTTTGCAGCCAGCCCCTAGAGCAGCGCAGGATCCCGCAGAGGAGGATGCTGAGGATGCCATGCACGTGGCCACGTCATGCTCTTGTCACCCTTCTGCTTATTTTGGGCAAATTGTCCCATCTGCGAGGGTAGCTTTTGGCCCACAGAGCTGAGGGGTGGCATTACCGGGGGGCAGCTTGGAGGCAGTGGTGGTTTGAGTCCCAGTCCCACGTCACACATTCCTGATCAAAGGGCAGCTGTGGGGCGGGGAGCGGCTGCGGGAGGAGACACTGTGTTGTCCCCAAGCTGCCATCACCACCCCATCTCTATACTGCCACCACTCCCACAGGGTGTGAATGGGACAGGGGACACCTGGTGGGGGGTGATGCTAAGTGCTGCGCTCTGTTCCTGCAGGCTGTGCTGCTGCCCTTCCTGCTGCTGCCATGGGGCATGGTGCAGGGGCTGAGCCTCCAGAACAGCCCTGCTGTGCCTGGTGCACCCTGGCATGAAGGTGGCTGGGACAAGGAGGGCAGCAGCGGAGTAATGCTGGGGCTCCCTGGGGAGAAACATGGCCACGGCTCTGGGGATGGCTCTCAGCTGGATGGAACCACGCAGCTGCTACTGGAGGAGTCAGTGAGAGAAGTGTGGCCCTGGCTGCCAAACCCTGACACCAACAGAGCTGCTGCGGTAAAAAAGAGCAGCACAGCAAGAAAGGTGTCCCTGTCCCTTGATGTCCCCACACACATCCTGAGGATCCTGCTGGACTTGGCCCGGGAGAAGGAGCTGCAAGCCAAGGCAGCTGCCAATGCTGAGCTGATGGCACGCATCGGGCGCAGGAAGTGAGCACAACACACACCATGGCCAAAGGGCTTTGGGTGGCCACGGAGGCTGCCGGCAGTCGCTCCCTGCACCCAGCCGTGCAGGTGCAGGATTTAGCCCCGGACAGTCTGATCCTTGGCATGTGCTGCATAGATGGTGTGCACACAGCAGCTGCTGTTCTAACATGACGTCAGCACTGTGGGAGCAAAGCCCCAGCCGAGACAGCCCTGGTGACACCGTGCCTGGTGCAGCGGAGTCTGTGCAGGCACGTCCTTGTCCCCAGTGCACCTCTGCTGATGTGCCCCAGAATTGCCCATTCATGCCTTCCGACCCCCAGTTTTCCATGTACCCTCTGTCAAGATGCTCTGTACACCATAAAGTTCACCCAGACCTATGAGCACTTTACAGGTGCAGTGTGTGGTGCCACTCAGCACCGCCGCAAGGTTGCCACGCACCCCAAGATAAGGGCCGAGGGGGCAGCGTGCGGCCGCCCTGTACAAAGGGCAGGGCCAGGCCCGGGGCTGCTGCTGGGGCGGCTGGAGCCGGGTTGGATGGGGCCATGCTCTTTGAGGAGATCCTGGTGCAGGGTGAGCAAGAACGGTGTTGGGGTGGAAGTGTCGGGGTGACCCCACTGTGGGAGTGGTAATCTGGGGTGGGAAATGGAGCAAGGGGTGCCGGCCAGCTGCTGCCGTGCTGGGGTGAGCAGGGGGGTGAGGGGTCACAGCCCTGCCACGGGGACACGGGGGGGACAGCCGGGTGTCACTGGGATATCGATATGGGTTCGGTCCCATCCCCACTGCTGTGTCCTCCCTACTGGTGTCCCCGGTGTCCCTGCTGCTGCCGGGTGCCACGTTGTCCCCTGCTGCCGCTGGTCCCGGGGTGTCCCTCCGCAGTTCCTCCCAGCACTCTCCAAGTGGCACCAGCTCCTCCGTACCCCCGGTCACGTTGTGTTCTCCTTGGTCCCTGAGTCCCGTGGTCCCGGCGTCTCCCATGCCGGTGACCCCTTCCCGCTGACCCCCGAGCCCCAAGCCGACCCCCGCCAACCCCGCCGTACGCGCCCCTCACCCGCGCCCACCCCCGCTACGCCCACCCCGCAGCCCCCCCCAGCCCCGCCCCATTCCCTTCGGCAATCAGATCTCGCCCTTCTCCCCTCCACCTGTCAATCACTTCCGTCTCCATGGGCACCGCTCAGCGCCCCGCCCCGTAGCCCCGTAGCCCCGCTCCTCGCGGCGGCGCCGGCAGTGACGTCACGGAGGGTTGTCCCGCGCCTGCGCAGTGCGGCGGCGGCAGTGACAGGCTGGCAGGAAGGGGCGGGCGGCGGCAGCGGGGCGGATGGGCTGTGCTCGGCTCGGCTGACGGACGGGCCTTTCACAGCCGCCGGCGGCGCCATGCTGAAGAAATTCGACAAGAAGGACGAGGAGTCGGGTGAGGGGCGGAGGGCGGCCAGGGGAGGGCGCGGGGGGAGCCGCGAGGAGTCGTGTGTGGGGGGGGGGGCCCGGCCGGGGCCGTGCCGCTGCTGTGCCTGCCCCGCTCGCGGCCGCAGCGCTCCGTTCCTCCGTCGCTGCGCGCGGCCGTCGCAGCGCGTTCTCCTCGCCGCAGCTGTCCGCTCGGGCCCCGCTGGTTTCGCGTGGAAGACCCCCGGCGCCGCCCCCGCCTCCCTAGGCCGTGAACGTGTCCCGGCCCCGCTGTCGGGATGGGCTCTGCCTGCTGGGATCCCGCCGCTCCGCTCCTCGCGTTGCCCCGTGTGCAGCCCTCGATGAGCTGTGGGCTGTCAGCGGTGCAGCCGGGGTCCGTTCCGCGGGGCTGCTGAGAGATCCGTGCAGATTGGTCTGATCTGTGGATCGGTGCAAATTGGTGCTGGCCTCCTGGTGCTGGGAGCTTTCCGGGGACGCTGCTTGCACTGTGCCTGGTTCCCCTTTTGTGATCGGAGGAGCGGTGAGGTGTGCTGTGTGATGCATTTCCAGATGCTCAGCGCTGCAAGAGGTACGGAGGTGGTGCTGTCGTTGATGGCCAACTTAGGGCTTGTAGGCTGCTTTAGAAAGGCTTTCTTTCAACCATTTTGTTCAAAAGCATTAGTAACTAAAACTAAACTAAAAGAGGGGAGGTGTAGACCATATCTACTAGCTAGAGATATCAGGGATAGGTTACATTGAGAGGGCAGTGAGGTGCTGGCACAGCTGCCTGGAGAGCCGTGGGTGCACCATCCCTGGAGGTGCTCAAGGTCAGGCTGGATGTGGCCCTGGGCAGCTGAGCTGGTGCCTCACTGAGTGGCTGACAGCCTTGTCTGAGTCAGGAGGTTGGAACTAAATGGTCTGTGATGCTCCTTCCAACCCAAGCCACACTGCGATTTTGGGATTGTAGACGTACTGTGCTGCTAGTAGGGCTTCTTTAACCATTTTCTTCAAGCACACTCAGATGCTTAGACCAGAAACACTTTGCTTTTTCCCCGTGTTTTTTTATCTTCTCAGATGCCATCAAAGCATCTGTGCTTTGCTCAGCCCCCTGCTGGATTTGCAAACAGCCTGTGTCAGCGCAGGGCACTGACCCTGAAATGAGTCAGGATGCAGGTGGCTTTGCCTTTTATTGCAAAGGCTTTGGGCAGCAGTGTGCGATGCTTCTGGGGCAGGGCAGGTTGTGCTGGACCAATTCTAGAGCTCAGGCTTGTTAAGTTGCACTGGAAAAGACTGTTTGTCCCAGAGCTAGGCTGAACATTGGTACTAATTACAGCCTGCTTATCAATAACTGACACTTTTGAGATGCTGTGGCTCAGAGATGCTTAGAAGGAGACAAGCTAATAGAGAGAATGCAGAACAATGATGCTTTTCTCTCAGATTATTTCATCCTTAATTAGTGAGTTGTTCATTGTTTAATATAATTTATTCTATTAAGAGGAACAATGAATGTTATTCTGTGTCCAGACTCTCTCATTTGCTGTCTTGTTCTCTTAATTGGTGATCGAGCCAAAGAATATTTACTGGTGGGTTCCTGATTGGTTTATAATGAAGGGGTAAAGCACTCCTGACTCTCCAGCCTGGCAAGCACTCTTTGTGTCTGTGACTCTAAGCTTTTGTTCCTCGAACTGTCATACTGATGCTCTAACTGTCAGCAACATCTTAGTCCTGGGACTGGAAGTGGTGCCCTGGGGCTCCTTACTTTACAGCTGATCAGACTCATGGCAAGTTACTTCTTGGTGGGTGATAAATCAAAGGATGTCCTGTCTGCTTTGCCTTCCCTAACTACTGGGGAATCGTCCAATTAATAATGCTTAATAAGGGGAGCATTGATTGTATGGTGTTCACAAAAAAGCTACCCAATAAATGCTGGGCTTACCTTTAAATTGTAGGTGTGTTTTGAGAGTTGCTTTCCCATGGCAGAATCCCTGGACTTCCTTTGTCTTTGTTTTGCAGGTGGGGGTTCCAACCCATTCCAGCACCTGGAGAAGAGTGCAGTCCTACAAGAGGTATATCCTTAGAAGCTGTCCTTTTTGCTGCCCTTTCTGGGTTGGGGTGTCCCCAGCTCCTGAGTAGGTCAGTGAGGAATTTTAGTGGGGAAGCAGGGCTTTGTTGTGGTCCTACTGGCACCTGAAGTATGGCAATGCCCCCACTAGTTCTTGTTTTATTGCTGGAGGGAAGAAGGGAGAGGGCTGAAATGATCTCTGTAACGAAATAGACTCTAAATGGTGAGTAGTAATATAGAATGTGACTGTCTGGAAAAGCTCACCTTAGAACAGGAAAGTTGGGAAATCAGCTTTGAACACCCTGAGCTTGTAGATTTCAAAGCCAGAGAGCAGGCTGTGTGTGGTTATTGAATAGACTCTGATTTTACTCTGAAATAAAACCCTTTTTGTTTGACATCAGACAAACTTCTCAGTCCCCAGACCCTGTTATTTCAGCGTTATCTGTTCGTTTGCCATATGATGGATGGTGTTGGTTCCTGTTAGCCTTGCAGGCTGTCAGAAGGGTGGTATTTTAGCTAGCACACGATCCAAACTTGTGTGGGTGAAAGTATGAGGAGGATTTAACCCTTAAACTTTCATTGTGCTTGCATTTGCAGTCTCAGGATGAGACTGTAGAACCATCTGCTTAAAAGGGGGCCTTGCTTAGCAGGAATTGGAGGGAATCTGATCCAAAGTCATTAAGTGCATTTTGCCATACCTCAACCAACAGTTTGTTGTTTATATCAGGCTAGTGAGGGCAGTGTTTATTAGGGGGTGTTGATATTAGCATCCTTGGTTGTGATTTGTTTTCAGGCACGTGTGTTTAATGAGACTCCTATAAACCCACGAAAATGTGCTCACATCCTCACCAAGATTCTGTACCTCATAAACCAGGTAAGGGAGAAAAAATCAGCTGATACGTTCTTTAGATTCTTAGTTTTCTCTAGCTAACTTTTATCTTCTGAATAGTTTTATTGACTACATCCAATAAAAATATTTTAATTAGAACAGTTTTTGTGCTACTAAGCTTCTACTTGCCTTCTTAGTGTCTGAAAACATTCTGTGGGGTAGAGAGGGTAGGAGCAGCTAAATATGAAGAGATTGATGTCTGTGATTTATTATTACTTGGAAGCTGTAAGCCTGCAGCTCTTTGATGCCAGAGACAGTTGTTACTCCAGGCCCTTGGGTCTCTGAAGCTGCGTGCAATAATGTTCAGCTTTGTAAAGGCATTTACCCATCTCATGGGGTTTCCCTGCTCTAGGGTCTCTCTGCACCATTACATGCAGTGGCTGTAGCTGGCTGACTAGCTGTGGTGCTTATAGGAAGCATGGCATAAGCTTTTCTTACACAAGTCATGGAGTTGTTCCAACCTGTTTTCCCCCCTAAAGAATCTGTCTTGTCACAAGTTTTTGGGTTTTTTTTGTAACCTGATAAATCATGCTGTCATCTACATTGACAGGTAAGCAACGTTCAGCCATGGCTGGGGGCTTTCTCAGGCAGGACTTTACTCTGTTCAAGTACGCTGAAGGAGATCTGCCCTGCTCTCAACCACACAAGCCTGTTCTCCTTGTATGTGAGACTGAGCCTTGCACCTGCAGCAGGACAG